GGCTGAATTAAACCGACCAGTTTTGTGGATGAAATTTAGGGTCAATTCAAGAATATTTTTATTTATCTCGTCAGGAAGGTCTTTATCACAGTAGAAGTTATCACAGTATACAGTAGAAGTTATATTGTAATATTATTTCAAAGGTTAACATTTTAGAATTTTAGAATTTAGGAAATACGATTATATTTGCTTATTTTTTCTCCAAATTGTGGCTTTTGTTGCAGATGATGAACCTACCAAAGATGACTCAGAAGCGACAGGTGAAAAGATAGAGGAAAATGACGATGTTGATCAAGAAAAGGCTGCAGTTAAAATTCAGGCCTCTTACCGAGGTTACAAAACAAGAGCGAGTCTAAAATCAGACTCACTTCCAAAACTCTCTGAAAAAGACGAGTCTGTTACCAAGGATACAAATGACAATATTCAAGAAGAAGATGGTGAAGCTGAAGCATAGGACATTGTAGCATGTTAATGTACACATCTCCTGTAAAGAACCATATGATATGTTGTCATTGCTGTCTGAAGTGAATTTAGGTCCAACAGCATACTTGGGGTCAACATTAAGTACTAATAAGCAGTAGCATTTTATTTTTACCTAATGCAACACGGTAAGGCTGCGAATCTTTTAGGATGCTCCCAGTTAAAGAATGAAAGAAAAATTTTTTCTTTTCTAATGGAGCCGTTTCCCTGTGGAATTTAGATTGCTGCCTGCTCTAAGAGGGAGATGTTAGATTCAATCTTGCAGCTATGGCAAGACGTGTTTTCTTATAATGAAGTAAGTCTGCAATATAAATTGAAAGCTCCCATTGGTAAATATGTTTAAAGTTAGTGAAAACAAGGATGGTCTGTTACTTAATGAACTGTTATTACTGTATTTGAGATAAATTACATGACTTGATAAGGAAAATGTTTTCTTGTTTTGGAGAGTTTGTATTAAGTGTGTATACTTCGCAACCTCGCTTTGGCTTTTAAAATATCCAGTCTCCTCAATTACAAAACGATTAGTACGTGTTTTTTGCTTGAAACATGAATTAATTTGATGTTATAATTATTTTTAAAGTTGTAAATTCATTGTTAATATGACACGTTAGAAATTAATTTGTTTTTCTATCTTACTCCATTCAAAATCACTTACTAGTCATATGTCAAGCAATGAAATGCACATGAATTGAACATCTTTTTAAGAGTGAAGATTTTGCTGTATTTTCTGTCTAGAGTTGTTTGTCAAAGTCGATAAAAAGAGGAGCGCTTTAATGCGTGCAAAAGAGACGCGAAATAGGCCATCCACCAAGCCAAGAAAATCTTGTGATTAACTGACTTAAAAAGTGATTTGATAATGAAAATACCCAGTATGCCGGGGCGAACTTGGTATTTTCCCCGGCATTTACCGTAAAGTTTTTCAGGTTTTATCTATAAATGTGGGATGGCAGCTCCATCTAGCAGCAAATGTCTTTACCATTGTGGTTTGAAAAAAATGTAGCGATAGAATGGGCGACCCTACCTCACCATACGTTTTGCATGACGCAGATGCCAATAATAGACCGTGTCAATCGCATACCACATCCAGATTTTCACATTTCATGTTGATAACGCCTGCTCAATTATATATAAATTTGCTATGATTTTCGCCCTGACGATTTGAAAGAATCCATATGTAATTGATTGTATTGTTTCACTAAGATAACCATTCCAAATTCTCCCAACCGGGGCTCCAACCAGTGGTGTGGTGCTAATGAATAACAAGGGGGGCTTTTGCACAGAATGTTGCAAAAAAAATAGCAAAGGTAGAAATTTGCTAGATTTTGGCATTAGAAAGGGGGGCTCAGCCCCTGCACAACAACTCTGGCTCTAACGCAAACTTGAGAGTTAGGGACCCAAAGGCAAATTAAAGACCCATAACAAAAAACTGCAAATAAGCTCTATTGTTTTATTCTGCTTTCAATTGAACTGACCCCCTCTTTTATGGTCTTAACAACCAACCACAACCAGGGTTTTATGTCATTTTACTTTTTCGAAACGTATATTTTGAACTTGATGTGGTCTTGATATTCTGAGCTTTGCAGCCTCGCTTTCGTATAGCAAAATGAGGTTGTCCGATGAAATTCCGATAGCGAGAAGAAACGCGCCAAATTTAGTGGAGGAAGTGAAGGGGAAAGGACAAAACTCGTTTGTTCCAGAGCCTCCAAGTGACCTCTAGAGTAAGAACGATGCTTGCAAAAAGTTTTCAACTTCCATTAGACGTTTTTTGATAATTTTATGTTTGTTTATGTGTTGTGAGCTTACAGCAGGTGGCCAACACAGTTGGCCTGTACACTATGTAATGTAATGTGATGGATTCGGCCTAATTCCTAAATAAATCGAATCACAAATCGAATAATCGGAGAGTGATAAAAGTAAATAAAAAACGATATGTATTTTTTGAAAGCTGGTCATGAAAAAAGGGCGTACTGATTTTTAACAAATTTTTACATTGTGTTAACTAGTTCAGAGTAGGCATGAATACATTTATATTGAACGTTTTTCACTCTGATCTATAAAGATAGGTAGGGGCAGACAAAATGCTAGGGTATTTGTGTGTGCGTTAAAGGGGTGTTGCACCTTTTACTCAGCCAGGTCATTTTAAGATAGTTTGGTCTACGGAATATGTTTTATGGAGTAGATCCAAAACGAAAGCTAAAATGAAATTTTGATGGCAAATTTGTTTCAACTTGTGGCTACTTGATGGTTCTGGTGCAGGCTATTGCTTTAGGTGGCCAATTCACTTCAACAAGGTACTTCTTTGAAATATAAAAATTTGTCCCATTCTCTTCTTTAGCAAAGCAAATTTTGCAAAACGGAAATTGCAGTGTTTCCTAAAATGCTGCAGGCTCGAAAGCTCAGAATTTTAACACATCAACAATTACTTTACTGTTATGACCCCAAAGAAGATAATTTAGTTCTATGTTTCTTTGAAAAGGTGCTTTTCAAACATTGTAAAGAGCATTACTAAAGTTTCTTGGCAATGGGTCTTTGCTCTTTGCTCTTTTACCATATACATCCATCCACTGTAATGGTTAGCCAATGATAAATTCATTTATCCGATTAGAGGCTGCAGACAAAAACAGTCATACAAACTTAAATAAACTTTCTATCAAACACTGTATTTTAGCCAAGATTTATTATATAGACTAATCTTCTAATTTCTAAATGGTCCAGATTCCTAAAGTAGTCCGAATTTTTTAGAACACCCCTTGAATATTTATTTGAATGTGCTGTCCTGTAGTAGATCCCTGAATCCCTGAAAATTATTCATTGATACCTTTTTACAGGAAGCTCAAAATTGCTCATTTAGTGGGCATAGAGGAAGCAAAAGATGGTTGACACATATAGTTACTTAGCAAGCTTTTGGTATGTACTCCTGTCTGTATCTGCTTGGAGTGTATTTTATTTTGTTGTACTGAAGACAAATAAAACTAGGTCTTTGATGTGGAATTGCAGATTGGTGGCACTTGCACACTCACTGACAGCTGTAGGGATTGTCAATATAGCAATAATTCTAGATGACAATCCATTCAAACACCTAGGAGAGAAGAACACAAGATTCCAAAATGCTGCTCTTATTTCTAGTGCAGGCTATTTTGTTTTTGATCTGATATGGTGCATTGTTATGAGAACAGAAGGAATCTTGATGCTTATCCACCATGTGATTAGTATCTTGTCTCTGATTGGTGGGCTATACTTGAATCATTCTGGAGCAGAAATTGCGGTTACCCTTTGGGGTTCAGAGCTTACAAATCCATTTCTCCAAATCAGATGGTTCTTGAAAGAATTGAAGCAATACAATACTAGATGTGGAATGATAAATGACTTTATATTTGTTGGGATTTTTGGATTTTCAAGAGTCTGTCTTGGCTCTGGACTTGCCTACTTGTTTTATTTTGCTGATAAGACTATACTTGTTATCAAAATGTTTGGTTTTCTGTTCTATGGCATCAGCCTTATTTGGATGTGGCAGATAGTTAAATTTATTAACTACAAATATTTCAGTAAAGCAAAAAAGAGATCTGCTACTGTCAATGATTGAGTCTAATGTGAAGTTAGTTCATGCTGTATTTTTTCAGTCAATTGTCATTATTGTATCATAAAACCTTGTTTTCCATTTTTCAGAATCAATAATTCTCTGTTTAAATATGCAGCCAGTTTTGTTTATGTTATATATAAAAAAACTTTAAGGATGAAGTGTTAAATTTGCTATATGGATGTTCAAAGGCATTGCTTTCCAACTGCTTTTCTTATTTTTTACCGAATCTACTTTATCAGAAATCATTCTGAGATGTATCATCTATCAAACTAGAGTTTATGTAAAAGTTACTGAATTTATTCGCAAGGGGATTATATTTGCCCTTCTTGGAATTGCGTTGGTGTAGGTGCTCTCTTTATTTTATTCCTCCTCTGAATTAAAACCATCTTTGACCAGCTGAATTAAAACAATGGACTTTTCATCATCATTACATTTACATTTAACAACCCTTTGGGTTAAACAAATGTCTGCCCAGTCAACTACAACATTAAAATTTTATAATTTACTGAGGTGATTTCGACATAGGTTGTAAAAGGTATCCGAATTTGCCTGCATCACAATATAATCATAATAAAAGATTATGCTAGAATTTGGCAGTATGCGAGAGGTTGTTTCCTAACACTAGTAAACATGTCGCTCATTTAAGATGCACTTAACAGCTAAGGGATTTGAAAATCATTTTAAGCGTGTCAAGATAAAGTAAACCCCTCAATGCAGGCCATCCAAGAATACAAATGAACTGCATGGCTGACTGATGATATAAATTTTCAGTAACTATTATATCAACATGGTTTTTAGCTTTCTAAGTTTATTAAGAGATTTCTCACCAGCATGACCCCAAACAGGGCAGCAATATCTCAATTTAAGTTCCATGAGACTTGTGCATTTGTCTAACAGTAGATGCAGGCATATACCTTTAAGAGTACTGTAATATGCCATACCTCTGGAAGTCTTACTTGTCAATGAAGCCAATCAGGAATACCATTTAAATGCTGATATACCTGAACTTCTTGGTACCTAATACTCACAGTCGTTTTTATATAAATGTTCTTAGTTTTGAACTGTGGTTTAACTGAGTCAGGTGAAGCTAATTTTTTGAAGTTACCTTGGCTTCCGATAATCATACTCCCCAGTTTTTGCAACATTTAATGATAGTTTGTTTCCTTGCAATCACCATTTCAATTCATATTAATCAGCATTAATTGCACCATTTATCTTAGAAACAGAATTAGATGCAAAATAGATACTGAAGTCAAGTCTGTATTATTCGAACTCGTCCAATTTGAACTCATACTAATTCGAACAAAATTCTCAGGTCCCTTGAAAATCTCCTAGTAAACCCTTATAAAATCACTGTAATCTGAATCCCTTTAATTCGAATTTGTCATAATTCGAACAATTTTGTCAGTCCCATGAGAAAAAATGATATTTCTTGTTCAAACCCTTTGTGTAGCTTATGATACAAGCTGGCTATATGTATATACACTTTTGTTCAGTAAACTCTCTTGAAATTGAGGTTATTGTAATTTTTGCCTGTCATGTGTGGAAAAAAGAAGACTAAGTTCGGGCCTACCCCGTGCCGTACCGTCAATAGAATGCGTACTAGCGACTTCATAGTCTAAAGGCTATAAAACTTGGATTGAGCGATAGCAGTGTCAAAATTCTAGATTTTACGAAAACGCGTATAAATCAATCATTTTGTAATTCGAACATTTTTACGATTCACCAGAGAGTTCGAGTTTCACAGTGATTACCGTAGTATCATTGGTATACATAGATACATGGGAGTGCTTTAAGCATGTTGGTAAAAATTAACAATGTAGAACAAGAGGAGGAGCCAAGGCAGGATCCCTGAGGAACTCCGCAGTTTATAGTCTTGAAACTAGATATTCGGCAAGGTAAGAATAATCTAAATTCCTTGCCACTAACACCATAGTATTTGAGTTTACTCAACATAATCTTGTAATAAACTATGTCAAAGCCTTTCTGAGATCAATAGAAATTGCTGCCATAAAGATGCACTTATCGGTATTAAGGTACCAATCATTCGTGCACATGAGCAGAGTATTTGAGGACCTGACTGATCTGATAATATCAGTTTGTTTTCGTTAAAATAGGAATACATTTCATAATTGGAAACAATTTTTTCTATAATTTGACTTGTCATCAGTGGACCCTTGTTTGAAGATAGAAAAACCCGTGCAGTCGGTATTTGTCTGTCTTGAAAGCTGGAAGTTCCAGTTTTCAAGACCGACAGATACCAGCTGTTTATACAAGGGAAGGGGCCAGACTTTCAATGCCTTTTTTTCAGGAAAAAGGTAGAGATCATATCAGTACCGAACCCAATAGAAGTTATGAATTTCAAAAAAGTTTTGAAATTTTCGCTTTTATCCTTCCAAACCACCTTGTACCTCTTATTCGAAATTTCACTGTTTGATTTCACATATATGGGAGAAGAAAGAAACCACCGTGGTTGCTGTATCCCCAGACAGTCTTTTGCCCTTAAAAAGTAAGTTGTTCTTTCCAGTTCTGAAGCTAGGCAAGTTTAATGCATTAACGCCTGATTCAGTTAAATTTTGTTGACTATACGTAGGTCGTGCAGTTGTAGCCACGCCGTACCATGTTTATCCTCTTCACCCACTCAATTTGAATGCCTCCATACACTCTACAGTCCTACTTTAGTAAGCACTCTGTGTCGATTGCTACTTTTTGTTGATCGTTGTAAAATATATATATATTTTTTATTTGTATTTCCTGACCTTTGCAACCGTGATCCTGGACGCAGGATTGCGAGGGGCGCCTACGAGAAATGGACATACCGAATTAAAGCCCCGAAATGTCCCTCGTGGGTTTCTGGCTGATGAGTTGCTTTTTTATCATTTTCTGCCCACTTACAAGCTAGTTGCTTAAAACATACAAGGGCACACACAACCACCCCCCATCTGAGTTTGAGGCTGTAACCAGGTGGTAGTGACTACTCCTTATCTCCTTTTTTCTCATTTTTCTATTTTGGATTTTATACTTTGATTCACATATTGGTTTTTTAGTTTTTACCTTCTATGCCTATAAAAACATGTAGCAACAAAACTGGTTTAATCTTAAATTCGTACCCTCCTCATTCAGTCATCTGCCCTTTAGGAGTGGACGAGCCAGTCAGTTGATGAATAAATGGACGAATAGGTCAATGAATAAATGAATGAATGAGTGAATCAGTTGATGAATGAATGAATTAGTTGATGAATGAATGAATTAGTTGATGAATGAATGAATTAGTTGATGAATGAATGAATTAGTTGATGAATGAATGAATGAATGAAAGAATGAATGAATGAATGAATGAATGAATGAATGAATGAATGAATGAATGAATGAATGAATGAATGAATGAATGAATGAGTGGATGGATGGATGGATGGATGGATGGATGGATGGATGGATGGATGATGGATGGATGGATGGATGGATGGATGGATGGATGGATGGATGGATGGATGGATGGATGGATGGATGAATGGATGGGATGGATGGATGGATGGATGAATTTATTTAGTTATATAATATATGTACATATAAATTTTCAGTTTCTTGGGGGATGCACCACCGAACTATCAGCATCAAATAATCATCAGCATCGAAAGTTCGATAAGCATCGAATAATTTGGCGAAATTCGTCACTTACTTCAAAAGTTCGGTTCAATCTTTTTGTGCTAAGTAAAACCCAACATTTATTCTAAAAAAGATGTTTGTTATTTTGCTTTTAGATTCGCCTTCTTGGATGAAAGAACGAGAGTATGGTTGCCTGTTTGTGGTTTGTTTGTGGCAGCTCCTTAATATGGGCATTGGCGTATTTAGCGTTATGTAACGTGAATCATATGCACACTTCTGAATGGAACTGTCGCATTATTGCAATGATACACTCGCTGCTAGTTACAAAACTCGTCGAAGTCATGGCACTCATAACCGGGCCTTGGCCTTTCACCACTCTTGCCCACCCAAATACATCATTACAAAATATAACACTCATAATTAGCGCCGGGTATTTCATCTTTGATATTATCTGGTGCACTGTGATGCAAACTGAGGGATATACCATGATGGCGCATCACGTGATTAGTGCTGTTTCGCTTATTGGGGTGCTGTTGCATGGCAAATCTGCGTCTGAAGTTGTTGCGGTTGTATGGGGATCCGAACTCACCAATCCGTTTTTACAAATACGATGGTTTCTAAGGGAGGCCAAAGCATATGATACGAAGCTTAGCAAAGTTAATGATGCGATTTTCATCATTTTGTTCGCATTTGTACGAGTAGGAATTGGTGCATACGTTGATTTCTTGGTATTGCAGTCAGCAACGACAGTCTGGTGGATCAAAATAGGGGGCACCGCCTTCTATTTGATTGGGCTTATTTGGATGTGGCAAATTCTCTGCTTTGCAAAGAAGCGCTTTTTCTCAACAAAAAAATATTGAGGCCCGCTCTTGTCTTTGAAATTATAGGCAAATGTTTTACGTATAGAGATAGAGTAGATTATTATCACAGCGTGTACGTCATTTCCCATATATATTTACAATTCTTTTTACAATTTTCGAAAAACTTATAGTAATTAGAACTATATCAAGAGTGTAATATTAGAGATGCAGTCGGTTTTAATAAAAAAAGAGTCTTACTATGCATGCACTGTATTAGGTATTATTAGAAATGATTTTTTAATCAAGAAAGAAAATTCAGTTGCACAGAAATGTTTATGTTAGTGTTTGATTTTCGAAATGCAACAATGAAATTAAATTTTTCGTTGTCTTTTACCATTCTAAGCAGCTCTCCGTGTGAAAAGTTTGACTTTTAAAGAGACATGCATAATCTTTATACAGGACAAACGAATAATTTGCAAGTAACAATGACAAGCTTATTGAACTACCATAGAACTTTCTACCACAGAGAAATTCGAGATTTTATTTTCTTTCTAATTGCTCTAAAGCAATCCCCATGCCTTGGAAAATTCAAATCTTTTTTTAAATCATCTCACTACCTAAGTTAAATAAAGAGCAGAAATTTTGCTACGTAAATTTGATGCTATCTTGTTGTATAATGTATGCAGTTTCATGTTGGAAAAATTATTAATTTAACGCTTAAACCAAGCTGGGCCTGATTGGTTTTTTAGCGAATTATTCTTCAAGGTGATGGACGATTGCTATAAGGAAATTTGACTTCCAGAAGTTTGAGTCATAAATATTTATCTATAGAGCATGAATCCAACAGCAACCTTTACCAGGAACTTTTGCTTAAATCTGAAATTCTGTAAACGTTTTGACATATTTCTTAGAAGCACAGTGTAACAAATGACTTATGTTGCATTCTGTATGACAGCTTCTTGTTCCGAATGTTGACAACTTCTAGACGGATTTTTTCATATTTCGCGACGAAGAGCTGGGCTTTTGCTCCATTTCCACCTCTTCCTCCTCGTCATAGATTGGCCGTGTAGCTGTCGATCTCCAAATTGAAAGTTTCTCCTTCACAAAATACTCTCCCTCATCTTCTTGCTCGTCTGTTTTTTTGGCAACCTGTTTGCGCAATTAATTTGTTGCAATGAAAATGTCAATAACAACTTTCATTCATTCTTTCATTCAATCACTCATTAATTCATTCAATCACTCATTAATTCATTCATTCATTCATTCATTCATTCATTCATTCATTAAATTTCCAGTTATTAAGTGTATACCGTTTGAACTGAATTACGGATTAGGTAAATGTTTATAAAAACATGTGCAGTTTTTATTTTCCTTTTCTTTGATTCTTTTTGTATGATTCCTTTTCGAAACATGAATATGTTGCTCCATTCACCAATATTCATTAAGTAGACACGAAAACGGTAAAAATTTGCGAGTATCCAGAGCTAGTCGTCCAACATTAATTGAATTCTAAATTAATACACCTTTGATCAAGAACGAGAAGTGATAACTGTTGCTACTTTCTTGCAGCAGGATATGTTTCTGTACAGCTGTTAACGAACACTGCACTTTGAGTCGCTTTCAGGGGTTATACATTTATTAAGTCTGCCGAGAGTGTTGAAGGAGGCCAATCGACCTTCCAAGTTCATGCAATGAAATAAATACATGTAAAGACAATGTACGTTTTGGCTTCGAAAGTACATTGCAACCTCTAACGAAGAAACTGCCTGACTTGTCAAACATCGCTCCAAACTATGCGAAACAATATTTGGGACCGTTCATTATTTAGAAAGAGGTTGGTACTTCAAGGAAAATGATTTCTTGTCCGGTAAATCTTCTTACTCAACTCAAAAGGTGGTAGGAAAAAATCCACCCATCCATTTTCTGTCGGAAAAATTATTTTACCCAACTCATTTTTCTTCGCTACCAGCCACTCTTTAATTAATGAGCGATCCCTCGGCACTTACTATTTTGGTGATTACGTACTGCCCAACTTGCTCTACTCCGAGAAGTGGAAAAGTGAATTTCCCTTTGCCGTGCAGCTGCAATAGAAAAATTCCACAGGTGGAAATGTGGGAGCTGGACACTGAAAAATATGCAAGGCTCTCTATTGGCGATAATTCTTTAAGGAAGCCAAAGGAGATTAATACCGCATGGGTACCTTCTTGCTCCCTGTACCTTCATTTTGGGGCTCACAATGTTTTGGGAACTCGAATTTCAAAATCAGCTATCATTTAGGTGTTAAATTATGACGGAATCCATGCTTGATTGTTGTTTTATCCGATTAATTGAAAGTGAGTATTTATCCACAGTTAAGAAGGCCTAAATGTTCCTCCAGATGAAATTGTGACCTATTTGTCTTTCTAAAAATGTTCCTTGTATCCTTTGAACAAAAGTTTCTTAGAAATGGAGTCTATGTAAGTTATCTATGGTTTGGTCTTTACGAATTGTCAGGAAGAAGAAAAATTCAAGCACAACAGTAAATTCCTCTCACTTTATATACTCTTTAAGTCTTTATACACGTATTCATTTGCCTTCCTTAGAACTGCTGCATCGCTAGATAACCTTCTTCTGGTTCACAGCCATGTTGATGACGATTTACTACAAAAATGTAGATTCGCCGTCCTTTACATTGATTGCTGATGAATTCTTCCGGCTAAGCTCCAATTACTCTATTGTGTTGAGTTTTTATTCAATATAACTATTGATAATTTGAAGATATCATATATTTAATTCGTTTTCACAACATGAAGATGCTGAATTGACTTACCAGATTGTCATTGTACCTTCCTTTAAAATAATAGCCATCATAATATATCTTGACTGGTCCATGAAGAATTCCATCTTCCCATTTACCTGAGATCTGAAAGGTGCGAAGCGCAAACCAAGAGATTATTGGCAAGTTTTTCTTTTACATGCCACACAGAGAAGTAAATTAATTATGTCATAAAAGGTATCTTTGGGTTGTTTTGAATTTGGACCATATAATCTGTAGTTATATTGTAAAATAGATCTACACGTGATAAAGCAATCGAATGTATAACAAATAGGTTTGAGATATAGCCGATTGAGTTCATGCACTTCCCCTATCAAATCACTTCGATTTTTTTTGTTTCTAAGCTTTTCTGCCAATTTTAACATATTTAACGGATTTTGCATGAGAGTCATTGTGCCAATCCACTGTGACTAGTGACCTGGCTGGTGAGAAAGCAAAAATGTGAAAAATAAAGAAAATTTTTTTATCAAGTACTCATACTACTGTTGCCAATCTATTTTTGTACACATATCGCTAAACTTACACAAACAATGTCAGGAAGAGCTTAGTTGATTTTACCTCGGCATTTGTTGCTTTGTTCTTGTACACCCCTCGTCCATGTTTTTGGTCTTCAACCCAAAAACCATCGTAAATGTCTCCGTTGATGTAGGCGTAAATTCCCTGTCCATGCTTCGTGTTGTTCTCCCATGAACCTACAATTTGATACTCAACTTTGTCCAGTGATTTTGTAGATCGCAGGCTGATGCCTAGGAAACTTGTTTTTCATTTCAATTTATACATTCGATTCTATTTTACTTGAGTCTTTCGGTGGAAAATATTAGCGAGATTATAAAGATTTCCATAAATTTTAGATTTTTTATAGAATTGAGTGGCTTCCTGTTAATCTTCCAAGTTTGTGGGTTCCCTGCCTGATTCTTGTTCTTTGGAAAATTTGCTATCAAAACGAATCAACGTTGATATTTGGATGCATCTCAAGGATATTATTCGGTCAATAATCAGCAACTCAACAACAGTCTCTGAAAACTATTTGTATAAACCGCCATGTAGAAAGAATTCGTCAAAACAAGGCAAAAAACAGGGGAAAATTTAGTCATCCAAGGAAAACATTTGCATTTGCTTTTTACTTTCCAGAGAAATAGCTTTTTGTTTCCAAAATGTTTATTTATTGTTACTTCTTAAAATATAAATTATGAAAAGCTGTTGTAGACTGGTGCTCTCTTATCCAATAAATGACAAAAGCTGCTCCTTTTTCGTTTAAAAATTGCTCATAATGTCCGTTGACTCAACTTGTCACGTCTCCCGTATCCTGGAGGATGGGGGGAGGGGGGGCCTCCTCCACCCAATCAATTTTTGCATGGTCAACACTTGCCTCTGAAGCTGAACAGGGAATTCTTTTGGGTAAATTTTGAGTCAGAAGTTAAAGTTGCTATTTTTTCGTTTAAAGGTGCAGAAAGTTTGATAGCAAAGGAATTATACCAAATTTCATGAAAAATCCAAATTAAACAGCCTATGGGAAGTTTCATTCGACAAGAATTTGTCAGGCGAAACCTTTGTTTTAGGAAGGATTTAGAACATTTGCTTCGAAATATCTCACACAATTTTCAGAAAATTTTACTGGCAAAGATATAACTAAACCTTCGTATTTTGAGCCATCCGGGTAGGTCATGGTCCCAAGGCCGTGCTTGTTTCCTGCGAAGTAATCTCCTTCGTATTTTGCACCGTTGTGGAACTTGTATACGCCCTGCCATATCAAAATTAATTTGTTTTTTTTATCAATACTTGCAGTGATGCAGAGATAGAAGTGAGAACAAATTTTTAGTTTATAATTACATAATTCACTACGTAGCAGCAAGTTGAAACAACGCTATCAAATTTTTGCCTTGTGAATTAACATAGGTACAACGCAACATGATGGCAAGTACAAGCATATTTGATAACACGATAACTGATTTTAGAATGGAAGTTTAACTTTTTAAGAAAGAATGAAAATGCAGCGGTTATAGCGATTTTTTCAACTTTTTTGCCATAACTTACGCATTATTGAAAAAATGTTTGCAAAAATATTCCCTAGTACCTTTCCCTGTCTTTTTCCTCTAACGTATTGCCCTTCATAAATATCCCCATTCGGTAAATGTGCTGTACCAAATCCATGTCGGTTTCCGTCTTCATCTCTTTCACCTTCATAAAACTGTTTTGAAAAATACAAGTTTGTGTTACCTATTACATCTTGCTAAAAAATGAGGAGCTTAGGCCTTTATCAGAGGTTCAAAAAGTTTTTAGAAAGTTTCAGAAATTTTGAATTGTTTTGAAAAATTGATAAGATGAATTTAAGAAACAAGCTTTCAAATCATTATAAAAAAAGAATGGATACAGAAAATATCTGAAAGATATTTTTCTATAATATTGGCTATTTTGAAACAATATATTTTCAATTTTCTTCGTGAGAGATATGGCAATACTTACTCCGATATCAGATTCAATATCGTCGTCGTCGTATGTATCATCGTCCGACATTTTTCTGATTGTCGGATTATTTTGGTTGTAATTTGATTTTGAGACTTCTCAACGCAAGTGAAGAAGTTTTTTGTTCTGTATTTATATGTGTCCTCTTTGCATTTGTAAAATATCTTTCGTCTTTTCATCAATGTAGTAAACCTTGGCATTATCACGTGACAATATTTTGCGTCAGAGCGAATCCATTCAACAAGCAACGGCTGAGTTGAGTTTTCTAAAGTAATAATAATAATGATAATATACATATTTATACAGGGTAAAAATACCTTATCAGTACTAGAAAGTACTGTTATCAACAAGGGCCCTGTTAAAATTAAATTGTAATAAAATAATGTTAGTAATCCTAATACAATGTAAAACTAGTCGAGTTAATTACAAGAAAATTTGTTTTACAAGAAATCGTTTCAACAAGAAATATTTCATATTTACAGGGAATTACTGTTTAACATAGTACTCCTTCAGGCTTGTTCGAAAAAGTATTACAACTTCAAATTAATGCCGTGATATTCGGAGGGCTTTTATGTAGGAGAGAGTTTGGTAATTTTCTGGCAAATTTCCCTGCAACTTCTTTCAACCTTCTTACAAATCTCTTAATTAAACATCTGGTAATATTTTTGAGTTATTTTTTAGAGTACACCGCCAGGACCAAAGTATGCAACACCTGCGAAGGCGATTAATGGCGGATCACGCAATAACTTTGTTGTTTTCTATAATAAATGTGTATGTTATAAAAGTTTTATTTGTTGTTACGTGGTTGCTCTCTCTCCCTATAAACTAACTTCCTTCTTAATCAGATATTCTTGACTACGACCCTGTTAATATTTTTAATATAATGTAGGCTTAATTTTTGTGTGCAGTATGGTGCTTCGTGGGTCTTTAGTTAAAATGAAATTTGGTAGAATTGTATTTAAAATTGATTGGTTGTTGAAAGTTGTAGAAATTGAAACTGGGACTTCTTACAGTTCATAGGGCGTACCATTCAGCAATTTTTCCAAAAAATTGCTATCAGTTTGAGATTTACTGGCTCGGAAGATAAAATGAAAAGATACGCCATTCGCTAAAACTTTTCAATTTAAAGAAGGAGAGGTCTCTTCTATCTCTTCTATAAACTAAGCTCAAGAGGCTGAAGTTGTGTTGGAGAAAATCATTGGGCAGGTCCAAGCCCATTAGGCATGACATATCCACCCTGAACTATTATTAAATAAATGTTTGTCATATTACCAGGATAAAAAAGCTCAAATTTGAGATAAAGTAGACTGGCTAGCCTAGTCGTATTGTCACCATAAATAGCAATTGGGGGTAAAATTTCAAAGTGTGATCTTTGGGAACTTCCTTTGGTAAAGTAAATTCTAAACTCAGTCTTATACATTTGGCCATTGCTACCAGCTGACTATTATATGATGTGATGTTCATATGAAGTTCCACTTGGCGGCTTTTTAAAGTAAGTTATTGTCGCCAGGGATGTTTTAAGCACTTCCTCTAGTTTAAAACTTTCAGAGAACTCCAATATTTAAAAAGGAGCACGGTAAATACTTAAAAATTCTCTTTAATCGTAAATTATTAGGGAAAGATGAAGTTTTAGACATTTATGATCTCCTAAGAGTAAGACGTTAGGATACTTGATTCCATGAGAACATATTTTCCTTTAACCATTTTGATAAATAGAAGTGTATGTTTTTAATGGAACATTTGCATTTTGTTAAAGCCGGAGCAGCCATCAACCCTTCAAAGAGTGATGGATCAATCTTCTGTATTTGAGAAGATTTACACATGACAAGATGATCAGTTATGACGCATGACAAGATGATCAGGTATGATGCTGTAATGAAAACATGGATCGAAGTTGCCACCAGAGAATAAAAAGTGATGAAATTCTTTTAGAGGGGCATGTCATTTGAATAAATACAGTGCAGTGTGAAAAGTCACTGTCAAAAGCGATCTTTTGTGTCGAAGGGGTGAATGGCCTAATGCAGAATTGATAAGTCATTTTAAGTTTCAGGATCAAATTAGGTTATAGATATCTGCAGCACTGGATGGTAGACGAACGCCTCCTTTCAACGCTTTCAGTCAAAAGAGAAAATGGGGAAAAATGTTCCCTTATAAAATGCAACAGCACAAGGACCACGGAAGCGGGGGCTAACTAAAGGGGCTTAGCCCCAGATTCTTTCCAAATTGTACTTAATCCATACAAAAAATTGCCTTGTTCTTGGTCTTTAGCATGTTTAGCCACCCAAACTTTTTAGACCCACCAGTTCGTAATATGTTCTGCAGTCTTTGCAACGACAAACACAATAGATAAATTTTTACTGCCCTTTTTACAGTTTTTCCTCTTGCCCTTCGTTTGCACAGGTATTATAAGGTATAAGGTTTGAAAATTTTTTCCAGGATATGTTATTATTTGTGCAAGAATTTAAATGATTAAATTCAGGGACTCCGGCGAGGGGGGCCGGGGGCATGCTCCCAAACAATAAGTGATTACCCTCTAAAGTACAAAAGCAAAAGATGAATAGACCCTTTCCGGGTAAACGCGTCCATTTTGAACAGGTGGCAAGTTGGACTTTGACCCTTTCAGTTTGCTTTGAAAAGTCAATGGTGGAAGTCGCACGCTGTCTATTCTTACGCAAAGGTAAGTCTTCTGTGAGACGATATTAAATATCTTTCCTAAAAAATGATCACAAATTCGTTTTTTAAGGATTTCTGTGTTGTTACTTGTAAGAATTACCTTTGTTTGGGAAGTTTTAGCGTTATATATCAGGGATAAAAATATTCGTGTCTTAGGCCTAGGCCATAAGGCGATGTCCAAATTTGGTGTACTTAGGGAGCTTCGAGTTTTAATACCTGGCGTTATTTTTCTTAAACATACTAGAATTTTGGATTATTTGTATGATCCTTCACTGTATAATAAGACAGATATTTTTTATATTTTAATCTTCCTTGTAGTTTCAAATTATTCATCAAACAATTCTGAAGATTATGGGAAATGACAGGTGCTGTGTTGGCCCTTGTGATAATGATAGGAGGTACCCTGACAGGAACATAATTTTTAGTCATGTTTCACATTTGCAATGGCATCGTTTCCCTGCAAATGAATTGAAACGAAAAGTGTGGATAAAATGTGTTGAAAGAGGAAGAGCAAACTTTTGTCCTGGCAGTGAAACAACCGTCTGCTCCAACCATTTTATAGATGGAAAACCAACAACTCGCAACCCCTTTCCAACGATGTACATGACACTTGCAGATATGAGAAAAGCCAACAGTCAAGATCAACCTGCATCTGTGAAAAGAAAGAGTCCAAGGAAAAGATGTGCTGCAACTGATACTGATAAGCAGTCAATGGTTAAAAAGAATGTTGCTGAAGATGACAATGATGCTTCTACCCCTACTGTGCATGTTTCCATGAAATTTGAATTTTTAACAAGAGAAGCTGATGTCAGATTTTATACAGGATTTCATTCCTGTGAAACCTTCAAAGTGATCTTCGACCATGTGGCCCCAAAAGCACATGTTATGCTGTACTGGGAGGGACCAAAGAACTCAAACATTGATACACCAACAACAGGATATAAGCATCGCATTGACACAGTCTTATTGGGAGCGAATTTGCCAAAAATAATTCCACCAATCAATAGGAAAGGTCCAGCAAGGAAGTTATCATTAGAACAGGAGTTTCTAATGACAATGGTTCGCTTGCGACTAGGCCTATTTCACGAAGATCTGGCCTGGAGATTCTGTGTTTCCTCTTCAAGAGTGACTCAGATCATAGCAACATGGATAAAGCTTTTGTCCAAAGAATTAAGCTGCCTGATTATTTGGCCTTCTAAAGGTCAAATTCATGCAACTATGCCAGATTCTTTTAAAAGATTGTATCCAAAAACGCGAGGAATCATTGATTGTACCGAGATTTTTGTTGAAACACCAAGTTCATTAGAGGTGCAAGCACTGCTTTGGAGTGAGTACAAGCATCATACAACATTCAAAGTTTTGGTATGCATAACACCAAATGGGGCAATTTCGTGGATTTCCCCTGCATATGGTGGAAGAGCATCAGACAAATTTATTGTCAATGATAGTGGGTTTTTGGACTTACTGGAGCCCTTTGATTGTGTTATGGCAGATAGGGGTTTCAAAATAAAGGAACTTTTACTGATGAAACGTTGCACTCTTGCCATTCCACCTACAGCTGCCAAAGGAAATCAAATGACAGAACAGGATATCAAAGAAACAAAACATATTGCAAATGTAAGAATATATGTTGAACAGGCCATAAAAAGGATCAAAGACTTCAATATTCTGAATGTATGTTTGCCACTGACAGAACTTCCATTATTTAATGACTATATTATATGTTGCTGTGCATTTGTTAATCTTTTAAAGCCACTTTGTGAATAAAATCTAAATTAGTCAATTGGGGCAAATTAAAAATGATGTCACAAAATTTTTTGGATATATTATAACCCTTTTCCCCTTAATATGAGTGTCACAAAAAAAATGACTTCCATTTTATGCAACAAACTCTAGTTTTTAAAAATCAGTAGACTTAGCAGCAAATACGAAGATCAAAATTTTTGTTGTGGTGGGGATAAGCTTGAGGGTAGTACAAATAGTAGTACTGCTATAAAACAGCATTCTGCAGACAAAACAGATTTGATGTACCCCTCCCCTCACCTCCCCTCCTGTGACATTTTATTTGCAGGGCCCCAAAACAAGACATCATGCTTAAATATTTTGAGGAATGTCAATTAAACAGTTACAACATAGCCAGTTAATTTCTTTGTCAATGTGGATAATTGATTGACATTTGTAGTGGTACCAACTGCTACATTGATCACAACAAATAGATTTTTCATAAGCTTCATCTTCTGCTATTTCATCTTTTGTTAGAAGGACTTTTTCACAATCAGCACAAAACTTTACTGGTTTGATTGCAAGCAGAGCTTTTGCAACATACTGTTGGAAGAAGATTTGTAAATTTGTGTACACCTTGTTCCAATGTACTTTATCAATCACAATGGTCTCAATGAAAATGTCTTTCTTTGTCCAGACAACAAAAAATCCTTGCAGGGAATCACTGAGCATGATTTGGGAAATAATCTGTGTGTAATATTTGTGAGATTTCTTTAAAGTTATTTTATTATCAATAACTGTTAGGAAGTTACATTTTGCAACACCAGCCTGAATGGTTTCATCTTTGATGTTGTATGGGCACTTAATTTCTATTACACTTTTTTGATGACACTTGCAATACATGATTCCATCTGGGGATGCACCAATATATGGATGAGTTCTATCAACATACAATCCACAGCTTTGAAGTTTAAAATCCTGATGTTTGCACGCCTCGACAGAATAAAACAACTTCAGTGCATTTTGCTCTTGCTCTTGTCCCCACTGTATTGCCGGAATAGAGTTAAGTGTCTTATCTCTGTAAATGAGCTTTGCAATTAAGGGTGTCACTTTTGGCAAAGGGGGTACCCTTTTTCTTGCAATAGAATTCACTTTAGTAAAGACCTCATGATGGACAGAAGCTGTAATCCGTCCATTTCTTGCATTTACCCATGCTTTAGAATCAGCTTGACCACGAGTAGATATTTCAATCCTCCTTTTTTCATTTTCAGTGATGTTGAGCTCTTTGTAAAATTCTCTTTGTTTTTCCTCATCAGTTTTGTCTTCACACCTACTTATTACCTTGCTTGCAATTGTTAACATGTCATGTGTCGCATTACTTGCATTCTCTGTGCCTTCAATTGATTTAAAAAGAACAGCATATTGATTTGTTCTCCAAAGATCCTGAAGAAGGCTTGATACATCTTCATCCGTTTTCTTGCAATGAGCAGGCCGCCGTGGATCAAATTTCTGCAAAGCTTCCAAACGTCTTTCTTCTCGTACAATTTCATTTTCTTTAACTTTTGTTCTGCTTTTTTTCCTTACCACGATCTCTGTTATTCTTCTAGGTACAATTTCCTTCTTTGTTGACTGGTTCCATTTGCAAGGCATGGATGTGCATGCCAGGTCATTATATCCATGATTTGTGGCATACTCTACCTTATAAAGTGTAGCAATTACATGATTGCAGCATGCACTGCTACCAGCCATGCAAGAGCACCAGCTAGTGATGATTGTATCATCTTTGGTGGCAATCCATAATTCTTTTGATTCGTGTACTGCCATTGAGGCTCTGACATCACAGTAGAGAAACTTAACATTTGTGCTAGGCTCATAAATTAAAATCTCCCCAACAAATCCACTGTCAAAATAGCTATAGGCCTTCTGATCTTTATATTTCCCTATATAGTCAGAATCAAAATCCCTGGTGCTAAGGATACATTGAAAGATATTTCCCAGATTTACTTTAGGCCATAGCATTATGTTGTCAATCCTTTTCTCTTTCCCAATACTTAATGGGTCAGGCAGTCCCAATTCTTTTAATTTGCTTTCATAATCCTTCTTTAGAGTTGATGTTTGCTCTTCACTGGACATTATGATAGGCAAATTCATCTCTGAAGCAGAGAAGGCCCTTGCAACAAGTTCCACTTTGCTATAACCAGATGACGGTATTCCACGAACTGACAGAAAGCTTCTTAATGCTACAACACTGAGTGACAAAAAGTCATCGTACGATCTGGTATTTGACATTCTGAAAAAGAATTTTTAAAAATTAGATAAATCATTGGACTTAGTTTATGGAAATATCTTTAAGTTTTTTTTAAGAAAAATAACGCCAGATATTAAAGCTCGAAGCTCCATAAGTACATCAAATTCGGACATCGCCTTATGGCCTAGGCCTAAGACACGAATATTTTAATCCCTGATATATAACGCTAAAACTTGCCAAACAAAGGTAATTCTTACAAGTAACAACACAGAAATCCTTAAAAAACGAATTTCTGATTATTTTTTAGGAAAGATATTTAATATCGTCTCACAGAAGACTTACCTTTGCGTAAGAATAGACAGCGTGCGACTTCCGCCATTGACTTTTCAAAGCAAACTGAAAGGGTCAAAGTCCAACTTGCCACCTGTTCAAAATGGACGCGTTTACCCGGAAAGGGTCTATTGAACGCAAAAGATGACATCGTCACCTGGGGGGCCATGGTTTGATCCCCCTTTGAACTGTCTGGGGTTGCGTATCACTTCTGTGGAGGATGTAGCCCCTTTCTCGTGCAGATTTAGTAGAAAACACAGTAAAAATGGCGGGTCTATCTCAATTACATTTCAAGGGACTGCTTGTTTTCATTCTTTGTCCGTACATCGTAAGACCAACTACTACTCCATTAGGAAGCACGCAGTCAACTTTGGGGACCACGGTTTCCAGTCAAATATGCGAGAATGACGCTTCAGCCAATTGTTACAGCTTGCCACAAAGTTGTGCCAACTGCACTTTCAATTCGTCCTGTGTGTACGGAGACGAAACAACAATAAACTGCACAGCGATGTTGTCTGTTGATTGCAAGGTAGCAGCTTTCTCATTGATTTGGGATGATTTTATGTAACGATCCAAGCTTTAAAGAGAATTACCTAAGTCAAAAGTGGTGATTTTTCAACTCCCCCAAGCGTTTCCTTTTATTGTCTCAATGAAGTCAATGCATCGTGCATGTGCAGCTGTCGTAGTTTACAGTCAAGTTGGGCCCCAGAAAATTTCAAATGTTCATTTTGCAGTCATTTTGAATGCAGAGAGACAGCCAAACTTTTGCATGTTGTTATGAGTTTTGCTTGTAATGACAAAGACTTATGGATTATGTTCCACTGATAAATTGAAAAATTATTTATGTTTTTATGATTTTATGTCATTATAACTTTCAACACTCGCCAATAGATCTAGCTATTTGTTCTTCTTCAACTCAGCTCTCCCCTTTTCTCAGACTTTTAGTTAACATTCAAATTTGTGGACAATGAATATTTCAGAGAAACCGTGTGCAGAATTTGTAGCAAAGGCTTTCAAAGAGATGTTGTATTCTTTGTTTTTCTGGCAATCAGAATTCAGAAGTTTAGATGGTTGAATATTCATGGGGAACATGACCAGATAAACAATGCCTGTTCCCCTTGAATATCAAACTTAACAGTCTGGCACTGTTTATTCTAGAAATTGATAACCAGTCAAATCCAGTTTTCCTTAAGCAAACTGTCCTAAGAATGGTTTCATTGATTGTTTTACAGGGAGAGAGAAGCTATGCAAAGAATGTTACTTGTCAATATTGCTATCAATTACCAAAAGAGATGTATGTTTGCCATGCAACTAAGACATGCAAGGTGCGTACATTTTAATGATAATTCAGTTTGTTTGCTCATTGGCTAATAAAATTGTAAACAAATATACCTGTGCATTCTTCTTATTGTAAATAGATTATTCATTTATCTAAATTTGTACAATTCTTGGTTCCAAGTTGACATCATTGATTTTCCATCTCATTGTCTACAGACTTTTGTCAAAAAATGGACCTTAGATTTAGAATTGTAATTTTCAAATTAATCCATACAGAATACTTCATGTTGTTTGGACTGTTTGGACAGACTAATTCAACGTGAAGATTCCAATTCTACAATCCTTTTTATCCCAGTATAAAGATAAAAAAACGGTACCTTGCAACCACGAGTTAATGTACAATGAATTAACCTTTACAAAAAAGTAATAGTGACATTATAATTTAACTTATTACTTATACCTTATTTCCTAATTTACCTAGTCCAAAAACATGCAACAATATATATATATACCAAAAATTTCCACATTTCAATATTGTGTCAATAGCTTGCATTCTATTTGCAGCAAAGGTTTTTATTTTGTGTAAGTTTGAGGAGAAAATGTTGTGGAGTGGTACTATTTTTCGTTTGTCTGACAGTAAAAGGAATGTGGCCAAGATTTTATAATTTTGTCCCCTAATGTCTTGAGCATTGATTAAAGAATTTGGACATAAAATGTCCAATAGCTCCAAAATCTATGGCAACCAATGGTAAAGAAATGGCTCTTTTTTACCTGACCCTCTTTATAATTGTTTCCTTGGATATAGCTCAATTCCCATGCAAATTGAATAGAAATTGAAATTATTTTTAAAATACCAGGGTTTAATTCAATTAATTATTTCTCACCTGTTTGAATTGAACATCTCAGGGTTTGAGGAGCCACAATTCAATGATTCAAGTGGGGGGAGAGCCGTAATCAAATGTGGCACATATCCATTGTTAATCAAGAAAATTGGGATTTTTCTCTGTTCTAAAGAAGTTTTATGACCAAAAAACTAGAAAAAGAGCCTCTATCCACCATGTATTTTCACTGGTTTGCCCAACCTGAGCAATTGGAACTAGCTATCGAAGAATAGATTACCATCATGGCATTGTGAACTGCAAAATGGTCTGTTCAAATATGCTGCATATCCTATTTCTTGTTTTTGATATCTTATGTGAAGATTCTTTTAATTTCTCAAGCTGAAAAATGTTTTCTTCAGGTGCCAACTAGTCCACAGCAAAGGATGGTAGTATATTGTACTGTTAAAGATAATGTCTACTGTATGGGTAAGTATTACTAAATTACTGAATTTATTCATATTTCTTTATCTTTTCTAAGTATTTTTTCTAGCACTGTGTCATGGAAATTCATAAGCAATAACAGATTTGCTGTTATTTTGTTTCTTGCTTGCAATGCTTTTGGCTATTCCACCGCAGTTCCGACAAGCATCATTATGAAGGTTTATAATCACAAGGTCATGATGAAATCAGCCACTTTATCAATGGTGTGCAATTGAGTAGTAAAATTTTGTAGAAAGGCCCTCTGCTTGAAATTTACCCACATGCTTCTATTTTTCTGATCTAATTCACCAAAGCATTACAATTTTCAAAATTTTGAGAAATCACTAAAGGAAGCAAAGTAAATCTTTTTTATGTAATTTTAAAGCCAATGGTAAGCTGCCAAATAGAAAAATGATTATTCAGATAATGATGTACTACCTGTGCCAGTTGTCAAAAGAAACTGTTGTTTAAGGCTCCTTACCAAGTCTTCTACTGATCCTATGTGTGTAACAGTATTTTCAGCTCTGCATAGCTCCCCCATCTCAGCAGGAAATGCTAACAATGTATCAATTGCACAATGGAATGAACATTAGACTCCGGTTATAGTCGCACCAAAATTCACTTGAAAATTTGTGTCAATAGGCGGGGTGTTACTGTAAACTGAGTAATATTGTATAGTTTTGTGAATTTGATACTAAGTTTCATGTGACTGTAACGGATAGTGTGACTTTAAGTGGAATGACTTTAACACAATTTCACCCTTCAACTGAATCAAATTTAAGCAAATAGACAGTTTCATTTCTTAGTAGAAGTGTAAACAGTACAAAAGCATACAATACAAAGAAGGGCAAAGAATACTTTAAGCCTGAATGTTTGAGCCGGTTGTTTTTGAAACTACATTTAGATGATCCGGTTGTTTTTTCATAGTGTCATTTGTCAGTTAGTAATAAATAGTGCTGCATAGCTCCTTCGGACGACAATTAAAAAATTAGTCTCAGCAAAAGATGTATGAAGTTTTTTAGATGTCTATTTAAGGATAAAAATTTTAAGATTACGCAATTTTCTCATGAAAACGAGTCTTTTGGCTCCCTTAACAGACCATAATTCATTTTTAAGCATTCATGCGCAAGAAATATGCTTAATTAACTTAAAGACTTTAACATTTTTCCATTTAAACCGTTTTTTTAATTGATTACTTTCATAAACACAAAAACGAGACTTCAAACATGAAAAAAGGCTGATGGCCTCCACCCCAAAATTCCCGTATAACATTGATTTTCGAAATCAGCACCCTCGAATTGACCAAAAGCACTTCGTCCCATAAATTTGGCCTTCGAAACACCGTTCCCTTATTCTCCGCCTGGTCTATTACGAAAGCAAAGGATAAACAAGAAAAGAGAAAGAGCTTAACTGGGACCTGAGTGGAAAGAACGGTCCATTTTCCCTTTGACAAAACCGTTAAACAAGGTAAAGCTTTCTCAGAAAAACAATCTGGAAATAAGGCGGTATTTGGGTGTGGTCTTTTACTTTGTTTTGTTGTTATTGGCCATCTTCCCTACAGTTATGGACCTTGTGATCGCCCTGTTTCCTGACCACTGATTGGGACTAATCAGTTGATAATTTGCTCCGTTTCGTACGCACAGCATAATTTGCTACTCATCCCCTGCATGCTTGGCCTACTACAATTTGGTAGTAAGAGATACAATATCAACAATCTTGTTCTTGTTTCCTTGATAGTAATTTATTGTGTTTGATTATCTTGAGCATGATACGAACCACAAATTTTTGGGCTGGCTTTTTCTTCCTCACTGGTCAGTTTTAATGCCTCTTCGCGGATGCCTGCTTCTTTGATTTTTTTAATCCATGACTTGGAATAGGTTGTGTAGACAGAAGGAGTTTGTTTTCACCTTAGGACTCTATTGGTAACATTTCCAATAGGCAAGCGGCACTGATTGGGTAACCTCAACAGTCATGTGCTCGCGTTTCTGATTGGCTTATTTCGATCCATAATTGGGTATATACACTTACGTGACAAAAGTGTTAGGACGATTGCCTCAAAGCAAATATGGTTAGCCCTTTGCTTAAATAACAACATAGAAAGTCGGTGGAATGGTGGAACATAACTAGATTGCTGGTTGAGATTTTCAATTGCAGTTTTACCCAATTGTGAAAATAAACATATTTAAAAAACTGTAAAGGAATAAACTTTTTAGAGAAGTACAATTTGCTTTATTTTATATTTTACCGGATGACCTCCAAGAATCTAGGCAGCCGCAATTTGCACAGGAACTCATTGAAATAATTTTCCAATGAAATATCTTCGGATACAGGAGGGAATCTCAAAAAGATACTACAAGAGCTTATTTTTCGTCTTAGAAGATTTTATTTCTTGGATTTTTTTATGAAACTAGTTGTTTTCAATTACATCAAGGCTTTGACTTTGACGGGGTTACTGAAAGACCATGATGTTATTATTTTTGAAAATTTTTAGGTTTAAAACAATTACCTAATGAAAAAAAACAATTATTGTTGTAAATGAAAAATAGTTTAATAAATCAACAAATACATTACATCGAAGCTAGAGAAACGGAAGAAAATAAAATACATAAGTATCGACTTACCGTTTGTTCCATAATCTTCTATCGAGGCTTGTGGTGATTTACCTATTACTCAGTGACGAAAAAAATTCAACGGGAAAACGCCAAAAAAGCAGTAAAAAGCCTAAAAAGACTATGTTATATTTTAAAATGGATAAAATATGCTGGTACATCTTCAAAAACTACGAATAAACTCAGAATATTCACGAAGAAAACGTGTGATCGTATTGTTTACGTATAGGCCGCTGGACCTCATGCTCTCCAGTAAAGCGTTTCTATGCGGTAACCAAGCACGTGACGCCTAGCTGCAAAGACCAAACTATGATTAACACAAGTACTTATCTCTAAAAAATGTAAAACTTGAGTGAGCAATTAGCTAACAACTTTTATAGTAATCTGTCTTCTGTCCCTTGACAATCCATTCTTCGTGTTAACACCACTATGCTCACACGTCTCGGTTAATCAAAACATGTTTACGAACAATTAGGTGTTATTAAACAACTTTAATAAAAAGGGTGTTTACCAAAAAAGTTGTTTACCATAAAAGTTGTTTACAAAAATCGTTTAACAAAAACTTGTTTACGTTCGTAACCTCTCCATCAGGCTTAGGTCCAGTGGCAGCGACAGCCGATGCTTGTCGCTTTTCTTGAAGACGTTTGGACCTTCTTGGTTTGTTTGGTCCATACTCATCGAATTGGGAAGTCTTGGGTTGCGTCGCTTTGGCTTCTCAATTGGCCCCTCCTTGGTATGTAGCTCTTGTGTGGGTTTAGCTCGGAAACCTGGATCATCGTCTTGATCGGCTCCGTATCTTGGCCGTCGTAACTGATCTAAATGTCGATGCCACACCGGTCCTTTGGGAATCACCTTCACGTAGACACTCCTTGGTCCGTGGATTGCTTTGACAATAGCAGGAACCCATCTTGGCTCTCTGTCACGCCTCGGTCCACAGTACAGTGCATAGCAAGGTGTTCCAATTTGATACTTGAAAACCTTGTCAATTAGAGTCTTACTTTGTTGATCCGACTGTTGACCTACCATTGCTGAGCTTGGGGAGTGTGAGCTGGAGATGGAATGATAACATCGATCTTGGCTCTGATTTGTCTTCCATTTAGAAGTTCACTAGGCGAATATCCTGTAGGCAATGGCGTGCGGCGGTATTGCAATAAAAATTCTTCAACAGCCTCTTTAGGTGGAAGAAGTGATTTCTTTAACGACTGCTTGAAAGATTGTACCAACCTTTCTGCTGACCCACTGGTAGCAGGATGATAAGGTGCTCCAGTGAGATGATAAATTCCTCTCTCATTACAGAACTCTTGAAATTCCTCAGATGTAAAGGTTGTTGCATTATCACTTACAATTGTATGCGGATATCCGAAATGTGCGAAATCTTGTTCCAGATGTAGCATTGTAGCTTTTGATGCTATTGACTGTGTCTGGTGAATACAGGGGTACTTGGAATAGGCGTCAGTAACAATTAGCCAGTTGGAACCCATAAAGTTAATAGCATGATCAACATGAATTCTGCTCCAAGTCTTCTCAGGCAAGATCCATGGATGAATTGGTGCTTTTTCTGGTGCATTCTGGTGCTCTGCGCAGCTTGTAAACCCTCTAACCAAATCCGCAATATTTTCGTCTATGTGCGGCCAGTAAACTGCTGATTGTGCCAGTTGTTTCATGCGCTGCATTCCCATGTGCCCCAAATGAAGAAAATCAAGAACTTGCCTTCGAAGTACCTCAGGAATGCCATTTCGTGATCCATTGAAAACACGTCCATTGTCAACTGTAAGTGAGTTTTCGAGCTTTCTGAAATGACGCAATTTTGGTTCATCATTGTCTGGCCTTGGAGGAAAACCTTCACGAATGTATCGTTTGAGTTTTGAAAGAATCGGGTCTTTTGCTGTTTCGTTTTTCACTACTCATGGTTGAGTCGGACTTGGTTGTGTTCCAATTGAACGTATCAAACAAACTGTGTTGATGTCTTTAACTTCTTCCCCATTGTCAAACTTGGCATCAGGTCCAATGGGAAGTATACTGAGGACATCTGCGTTTCCATGTTCACCTGTCTTCCTGTACTCTATTGTGTTGTCGTATTGACTGAGTGTGAGAGCCCATCTCGCCAATCTGTTTGCTGGAAGACCTGGAGATGGCTTTGTTGGGCCAAAAAGTGCCAGCAACGGTTTATGGTCTGTGACAAGAATGAATCTTCTTCCATACAGGAACTGATGAAACTTTTTCAGAGCAAAGAGAAAAGCGAGAGCTTCCTTTTGGATTTGACTGTAGTTTCTCTGAGCATCAGTCAGTGATTTTGAAACATTGCTGATAGGGCGCTCACTTCCATCTGGATATCTGTGAAACAGAACTGCTCCAATTCCATAGGCGGATGCATCACATGAAATTCCTATTTGCTAA